CTATTCTACCTAAATCTAGATAAGCTCGACAAGTTTAACGAGTTCGATAAGTTTAATAGTAAACCTAACGAACTTATCGAACTTCTACCTATTACGTAATACTACCTAAAACCGGGGCCTTTCTACTAACCTAAATCTAGCTAATATTAACTAAATAAAACTACTAGATAGTAGTCCTAGGAACTACTTAATTCCTATAACCTCGCCTAATCCCGGGACCTTTAGTCCTAGGAGTATTACGGCGCCGAGGCCGACGCTACTCGTAACAATTAACGCTAATATCTAATACTACCGATAGCTACTTAAAAGTAGTATTCTAATTTAGTTTAAGAAGAGTATAACTCGAAAATAATAATAACCTACCTCTCTATAACGTTATTCTATTTTATAAATAAAGCCTAGCTTTCTACTATAAATTATATAATAGCAATTATCTAATACTATATTCTAATGATATATAGTATTCGAATCTACTTTAAACTATACTCTTAGTTAATAAATATACTAACAAATATCGAAGGTTATATATTACCGTAAGAGAGAGAGACGCTAAATATATAAATCTCTTACTCGAAGCTAGTAAATATATCGACAAAATAAATAAGTATAGAGATATACCTTTTATATATAGCTATTTAGAAATAGTCGAAACTATCGGTAAGGCTTCTAGTTATTAATAGTATAAGTATAATTATATACGACGCTAGAGAAAAGTCGCTATTAGAAAAGATAAAGTAATAGAGAGATAAAGAACTTAGAGTATTCTTAAAGAAGACGCTCGAAGATTATTATATACTCTAATTAGACCTAACTAGATATATATAAACTAGAGACTAGAACGAATTTAATAAAACCTTAGAATATAAGTATCTAATTAATATATATCTCCTAGAAGAGTAAACTTTACTATAGGTTATAGTATAATTAGACTTATCTAAAGTAATTCGAGAGCTCTTTAACTATAGTATAGATATCTAGATATAAGATAAGAATAGTATTACGAGTAGCGTCGGCCTCGGCGTCGTAATACTTCTAGGACTAAAAGTCCTAGAATTAGACGAGGTTATAAGAATCGAGTAGTTTCTAGAACCGCTGTCTAGTAGTTTAATTTAGTTAATATTAGCTCTATTTAGGTTAGCGGACAGGCCCTAGTTTAGGGTACTATTACGTAATAATAAAAGTTCGATAGGTTCGCCTAGCGAACCTATCGACCTAGGTAGAAGTTCGACGAGTTTAACTAGTAAACTTATTAAACTTAAAGAAAGAAAGTTCTATATAATAATTATAATATCTTTAGATAGAAGCTTTATACTTAACTTACTATAGTAATAGTATATTATCTATTTCTCTTACTCTTATTATAACAAATAGATCTTCGAGTCTATAAGTAATACTTTATACCGCCGCTTACTATATACTAACCTTACAATACCCTAGTTTACTATTAGGTAGAGAACCGAATCGTTATAAATAGTCGAATAACTCTTTATATAGTAGTATAATTAAACTTATTTAAAGTAATTTAAGAGCTCCTCGACTATAATATAGATATCTAGATATAAGATAATAATAGTTAGATAGCTCTTTATATAGTAGTATAATTAAACTTATCTAAAGTAATTCGAGAGCTCCTCGACTATAGTATAGATATCTAGGTATAAGGTAAGGATAATCGGACGACTCTTTATATAGTAGTATAATCCGACTCGTCTAAGACTACTCGAAAGCGCCTTAGAAATTCTTTAGTATATATATTTTAAAGTATATACTTACTATTTCTATCTTTAGAATTACTATTATATATTTCTAGGATCCGTTAGGTCTATTACTATAGTTACTATTCCTATAACGATTTTATCTCGAAATATAGAGTTGTTAAGACTATTATAGATCGATTAATCTTAAGTAGTATTAAGGTAGAAATTATTACGTAGCGTAAAAGCCGGATAAGCACTCTACTTTTAGTATTAAAAAATATAACTTTGTATAGGCATAAAAGATACGCCGAAACTTATCAAGATTTACACTAAAGTATTAGGCAATTTACAAGTTAGTACGAACTTACGTGCTAATATACGTAGTTTAAGCCACGGTATATAGGATAACGCTTAAGAAATTCCCGAGATAGAACTTAAATCTACTAATAGAGAGCCGATTAAGGAGGTTAAAAGAAAGGTTAAGGATAATGTTAGATTTATCCGCCTCTATATACGCATAACATCCCCCCTCCTATATATAGGCTATATTAAGATAGATCCTAAAAGTGTACTAGCCGAAATTATTAATAGCGATTAACAGCTATTTAGAGAAATAAACAAAAGGTATACTAAAGTATATAAGAGGAGAATAACAGTTTTTATTAAGTTAGAAGGTATTTACTTCGTTTAAGTAAGTCGCTATAGATTACTTAGTTAATATATACTAATAAGCCTAGTTTCGGCTATTTCCAAGAACCTTAGTAAGTAGCTTAAAAGAGAACGAGATTCTAACTAATAATATTAGAATATAATTTTGAAAAAATATAGGAATTAAAAGACGGTAACTTACCTATTCTACTAAATCTTATATTATATTTCTATAGTAAACCCGAATACATTATAGATAACGGACTATATCTTAACACGTTTTCTAAGAGAAAAATAGAACCGTTATACTAGGATAGGAGTAAGCTAAATATAGGATACGGAATCTATTTAAAAGAAGAGGTAGACAAGATGTTTTTTACTCTTATTAGGGGAGCTATAGCTCTTTATATTAGTATTATTAGGTAGGTTATTTTCCTTATCCGTTGTAATCTTAAAAAGAACTATTCTTAGCCGGCTATTTTATAGATCTTAGGAACTAGGGTCTACGCTTTAGAGGTACTAAAAGAGTAGCTAAAGGTACGATTTAAATCTAGTATAATAATAAAAGCAAAGACCGAGTAAATTAGTAGTAGCGGGGGTTTATTATAGTTTCTCTAATATTAGAAGTATAAAAGAGAGCCGATCTATAGTATATAGAATAAGAAACTAACAATTTTGTTAGTAACTATACTTAATCTATTTAGACTTAGTCGAACTTTAGATATACTTAATTACGTTAGAGAATTATTCTATAAATACTTATACCTAGTCTGTAATTTAATTAGAGGTACTAACCGGCGCGCTAACACTATACGAATTTATACTATATAGTAGCTATAAGGCTACCGATAACTTCTTAGTACTCCCGAAGGACTTAGGCTTAAATAAGTAGAGTTTATAAATTTCGATAACGGAATTTAAAGCTTAATAGTAGGTACTATAGTAAAGGATTCCTGTTACGCTATAAACAGAGACCTTCTGTAAACTAGACGTAAGGGCGACGACGCGAATATAATTTTCTAGTAGAGAGTTTAGAGTATTTAGAAGTATAGAATATAATTAATACTAAATTACAAAGTATAAGGGTAGACGACCTACTTAAAACCCTCTTTCGTATAGTCTTTACCTCTATTAGCTATAAGGCGTAAATCTATAGGACGTATAAGGTCGTATCTCTCTAATCTAAATATTATTAGTCGCTTTAACTTAAGATACTAGTAACCTTACCTTTATTTACACACTATAGTAGCCTATAAGGCTAATAACAATTTTCTATATAGTAGTAAGACTCTAGAGCTCGAATATAACCTCTTTATAAGTATTAGAGATTATATAAGCTCGGTAGTAGAGTTATAGTAGAAAAAGGTCTATAATAATATATAGAAATACTCTTTATAAATTAGGTGTAAGGGTAAAGATACGATCCTAATTTCTAGTAGAAAGAGTTTAGGCTATCCGAGAGTAGTTACTAAATATAACTTATAAGATAATATAGAAGATATTAACGTATATATAGATTTTAATATACTTAAGAGTTAAAGTAACTTATACTATAATATTTTTAGCGAGATTACTATAATTACAACGTAGCTAACTATAATCCTTACTCGCTTAATTAGAGGAGGTATTAGTCTATATAGTAACGTCGTATTATAGGTATACTATAGCCGCTATAAAAGTAGTAATAGTATTTTCGTATTATTATTAGATTCTAGATATCTATATTTAATCGTTCTATATATTTAAATAGTAAAAAAGTCTAATAGTAGTTTTATAAGTCGAAGAGTTCTATTATAGAGTAAAAAGAGGCTCTCTGTAAATTTAAGAGGCGGCGACGATACGATAATAATTTTCGGAACTAGTAGGTTAGAAGTATTAGAGAGAGATATAATATAACTAAAATAAAAATAAATAGAAAATTTAACGCGTTTATAGATTTTAAATCGCTTAAACTTAAAGTATCTACTTATTATCTTATTATAGTATACGTTTTAGTATATAGAGATAAACGTTATTATAAGTAATCTAGTAATAATTATATAGATAGATATATATTTTCAGAAGAAATATTATAGAAATTTCGAAATTATAAATATAATATATTATAGTAGAAATAGTAGTAATTAGATAGTAATTACGTATAGGCCTAAATTATTTAGTAGTAGAATATAATATATTATAAATAATTATATAGTAAATAGAAGCTATATTAATATCTAATAAGTATTATAAATATATTATATCGATAGTTTAATAATAGATAGTTATACTAGAAAGCTATCTATAAATATATAGACCTAGGAGCTAGTAGAGATATTTAAAAAGTATACCTATTATATACTTTTTATTATCTCTTATAAAAATATATACTATATAACTTTAATTAGTATCTCTAGTATCTATAGACTTTTATAGGCTTAGAATATTTATATTTTTAGTCTCTTACTACTATGAGAACTTAATTGGAATATTACTATCTACTACCCTTTTGCTTTCTTCTTTTTCTTCTTAATAAGCACTGTCTCTTTCGAGGCAGTAGGCTTTAATCCACCAAATAACCAATCCGGTGAGGAGCTCACTTTCACTGATTCTACTGACACAGGAATCACTAGTGGCGGCACTTCCAAAGGACTATCAATGACCTGCCCATCCTCATTATTCGTGTTTAACATTGTCCATTACCAGAGAACTTACTACTTCCTGACCGTTCACATCCTCGGACTCTGAGATGTCGTGAAGGAGATCAGATTCAGAATCATCCTCAAAAACATGTTGCTCAGGATGCCACGGACGATGTTGAAGATCTGGACAATTAGCTATGGCAGAGTTCAAGTTGAGGAACATGAACTGACTTGTCATAGGACGACCAATATGCTTCTTACACATTTCGAATCCAGCTTTCAACACGACCAGCTTTCGCGTCATGCGCTCTCGCTGCAATCGGCTCTCAGAAGATTCTGCGGCGATCTTGTTGATCATGTCAGCTTTCATCTGTACCACGCGCGCTGGAGATAGTAGATCTCCTAGTTTCCCAAGAAGCTGCGTCTCAATCGCTTGAATTACAACGCTGTCAACCACTGATTTCAGAGCAACCTGACGGTGTCTAGTTAGCTCAGGGATAATACCCTACGGTTGGGATTGTCACCTTGTAGTACGCTTGCATACAATCGAGAATCTCCGAACTAGCATACCTGTCCATGTCGGCTTCTTTGCGACTAGTCAGTGCTGATATGAGACTAGACGTCTTTACCTTCTTGATCGGAAGTTCTTCAAGTGACGATAGATCTCGACCGCCAAAGAACTTGGAAAGTCTCCTAGTTACCTCAGCCTCAAGACGCTTCTCCCTCATGTTTTGGATGGTTTCGATGAAATAGTGGTTGTAGGTTATTGGATGTCCTTTTTGATGCGGAAGGAGAAGTTCAACAAGCTTAGCGGTCATGTCTCGATATCGCTGTTCCATTAAAGGGTCAAGGACCTCTCGCAAGAGGGCATCGGTAGTGGCATCATCTGTCAAATGCGAAGTCACTAGTTCCAAAAATGCACGCGTTGCTTCCCAAACAGTCTTGAGATGGTTCTGCATTAGGCGTTCCCACGGTATCGACTGCTCATGGAATAGGTCACCAACGATGAGAGGGTTGAACATGTGGGAAGCTCCCTGCCACGACTCGTTTTCAGAAGTTCCGTCACCTCATCAAGAAAAACGGCACGTGAGATGATCTGTGGCACTCCAGCAGCGAGAGGTGGTACATCTGACTCGATTCGATCCACTATCTCGCGCTTGTGGCCACACAACCTCATCCTCTCTGCGAATTCCATGTTGAGGTTCTGCACGACGGCACGAAGCCGTTTGCTATATCCTTCTGCAGAGCGAGAATCGCCGAAAAAGCTATCACCATACGTGCCATCGACAGCTGCATTGACGATGGATTGGAAAGATTGGCTAACATGCAGCAGAAAAAGTCGCTGCTCCTCGTTTGTATCTCTGCTCGCGCCTAGCCTTCCGAGCGCTTCGTGGATGTCCTTAATGCTTGCCTCGAGCTCGTCGAACACACTTGGCAGCTCATTCTTGATCTGCTGCAGCAAGACTTGGCTAAGCCGAGTCCTCAAGGAAGTGATTCCAACAAGATTCCGAGCAAAATCTCTCCATATGCCCTGCGAAAAGAATTGTTCTTCTGCCGCATCTCGAGCCTCCATAGAGGTGTTTCTCGACTCGTAGTCTCGGTTCCTGAGGACGTGCCACCCTAATCGAAACTCGACGTCTTGATTTCGCGCCAGGTTGGCGTATGCTAGCTCACTCTCGGAGCCGATGGGAAGTGTATCGGGCTTTGTTATGATACCCAAAGTCCGAAGACCTTTCGCATCGACGTCCTTGGCCAATTTAGTCACAATCTGATTAGCATAATCGTTCTTTGCAGATACCACAGCCAAGACGATACTTCTCCGATTGGCCATATATGTTTGCACCATGGAGAGGACGAGCGCCACGTCCGCAGCCGTTTGTAGCTTATTCTCTGAATGTATCAGACCAGGCAGATCAACGATAGTTAAGTGTTGCTGCGATGGTCCGGAGACCTCAACCCGAAGAACGTCGTTGGAAAACGCACTCGATGTGGTCGATATGCCCATAAAGTCTTTTGCCTTGTCGACTAACACAGAAAATCCATCGAAGTTTAAGAGCGTCTCGTGGAACTGTGACAGACGATGACATTCCGCTTCTGACCGATCTTGACTTGGTACGATAGAAACTGATACACCGGTGGCCGTTGCTCTTCGAAGGATGAGTTCGGTGGCGAAGCGGGTGCAGAGATTGTCCTTTGTGGGAAAAGGAATGCCTGAAATAGCCTCGAGAACTGAGCTCTTGCCCGAGGACTGGTCGCCGCAGACGATTAACTGTGGTAGAGAGATATAGTGACTGACGCCATGTGATCGCAGGCTGTCGATTGCGTCAATGAGACCAAGCTCCTCTTTGGATTGCAACGACTGCAGTGCGCTTGTCTGTAGGGATTTTTGAGACATCTTGAGATTCGAAGTCACCGCAGTGATAGTGGAGAGAAATGCTAACTGCTGCTTGAAGTTCTCTTCTCGGGCTGCCAACACTTTAGCTAATGGATCAGCTAATGTATGTCGTCTCTCCTCATTGCCCCTACTTACTTCGTACATGCTGTAAATAACCAGCTTTTTTCGCCGCCACCCTAAACGGTGACCTTACTATGTAAGGTAAAGTCTCATCTAATCTTTACCGATAATTCGCCAGATACATCGAGTATTACACTATTTTAGAGGGAGGGGTGCACAGATGTGGAGGGCTGGTTATTTACAGCATGTACGAAGTATTTCCCGCATCTGTCAATACAAACCCGGTAGTAGGCCCGAGTAGGCCTCAATAGCAGCGTCATACACGGCACTTATCCCCCACCACAAATGCACATCAATGCGGGGTAACGTCTATCCGTTGCGTAGCGAAAACCCACTGTGCCGGAAAATAACCGGGTACTTGGACTTTTGTACACACATTGAAATCTCCTACAGTTGGCTTCGATTGCGGTGTCCTCTTTTAATCATCTTTCACGTTTATGCAAGCCACACCTCACTTATGTGCCTAGCCTAATGCGGTTAGCACGAGTCTTTGTTATCATGGCAGGCTTCGAAGTTCTGCTCACCTTTGGCAAATATTGACAACTTTCCTCAATAGCAGTCAGCACTCAGAAATGGCGCCACGTCTTGCGAAATCGCAAGTTGCTCTAGCCATTGGCATGCTCTCAAGCGGACTATTTACTAACTCTGAGATCGCAACAGCGGCTAACTGTAGTACTCGCGGTGTGCGAAGGATCCGCTCAAACGTTCGAGATGTCTTGATCTGCAAGGGAACGTGCTCTCACTGTAGATAAATGAAACGACAATCTTTGCGTAGGTCTCCCTCGAACCGACAACTTTTACTCGTCCTACAAGTTCCACATTACCCACCAGAGGAAGGATGGCGAGGCGGGCAGCGCGACGTTGGTTTTATACCCCGCCAAAGGGGCGGCTGACACGTACAGCGCCTTGCCTAATGCGGGCCCTCCCTCTTTCCTAATGCGGGCTTGCTGTCTCGTCGTTTACTATTATAAAGTATTTTAGATTCTTATAGTCTATTTTAATCTTAAACTTATAAATACTCTTTTAAGTATTTAATAATTATTAATATCTTCTTATTATAGATCTTATAGTTATATTTGGTACTATTATTCTTTTTTAAAAAAAATCTATAGAGTTAAAGTAGACTATCTATTCTCTACTATATAAGAATACTATCTATATAATAACTAAAAGAGTCTATCTCTAATAATATCTCTAAATTATAGTTAAATATAACTAATAGTAGTTCTTTAGTAAATATCTTCTTAAGCTTTATAAAAGTACTCTATATACTTTTATTTTACTAAAATAGAGTATTCTTAAGAGTTAATACTATTATAAGTTATATAATATTAAAAAAAATTCTAATAAACTTTTTATAAAAGTTTATAAAGTCTAGAAATCTTTAAACTTCTTTAACTATCTTAAAAGCTTTTTACTTAAGAATAGCTTTTACTTTTTCTAGATCTATATAAACTTCTTTTTCTACTTTAATAATAAAGTCTAGATACCTTATTAATTTTACTTTAAATTTACTCTTACTAATATCTAATTATAAACTAGTATCTTAAAGCTATATTAGTATTTAGTTAATATAGTCTTTATACTTCTATAATAACTCTATAGTATATACTAGAATATTATCTATATATACTAAATTAAACTTATTTAAATAACCTTATAGAGTTTAGTTAATATATATTTAAAATATACTTAGTATATTTACTAGACTAAAAGAAGTAACTAACTATTTATATAGACTATACTTTATTTTAAAGATAGTTATCTATTTTTCTTCTTTTACTATTCTAATCTTATAGAATATAGCTACTATATTAAACTTTAAGAAATAGTAGACTCTATCTATAGTTTATAGTATCTTATAAATTAGTTATTATAAATTAGCTATAGCTAGCCTATAGCTCTATTTAAGGCTCTATAGCTAGCTAATAACTAGCTAATAGCTAGATATATAACCCTAAAACGTAATATATAAGATAGACTAATAGTTAGTCTAGCTAATCTCTAAAGAGAAGTAGTTATATAGTCTACTTCTTTACTCTCTTAGATATTACTCTTTAGTATTTAGTCTTCTAGATAATATATTTCTTACTTACTTACTCTTACCTTCTAACTACTTTCTAATAGTAGTACTCTATACTAGTTTATAATATTCTAAATACTCTATCTTTTATAATTCTCTAAATTATCTTCTTTACTTAAAGAATCTACTAATTAGCTATTCTATAATAGCTAGAAAGAACTTTAGATCTTATAGTAAGACTATTATTACTTTATAATTAAATAGTAGTAGTTTAAGTACTATAAGACCTAAAACTACTAAGTAATAATATACTAGAGTTATAGTAGAATAAGTTATACTTAATTATAAGGTTAATCTAGATATTATAATAAGTAATTAGAAGAACTCTAATAGTAATAAGAAAGATAATAGTATTAACCTTTTATAAAGAGTTAAGTTAATATTAATATTTCTAGTCCTTAAATTAGAGAGGTTAATACCTCTTCTTTATCTATTAACTTATTAGAAGTAAGTAAATCTATAGTTATTTTTAAAACTCTAGTTTAAGAGTAGATTACTAAGTAAGCTCTACTTAATAAAAAGTATTAGATAATTTTCTCTAGATAGATAGTTACAATAACTAATCTAAATAGCTAGTTAAGGTAGAGAGATACTTTAAAGTATATCTTTAGAATAAAGTATATAAAAGAGCTTTAAGAAGTAGTAGTCTATAAGTAAATAACTTACTATCTACTACTTTTAGGCCTAAGATACTTAACTATAATATTACTTTAAAGTTATAGAAGAGTAAAAATAATATAGTTTTAGACAAGTACCTATATTAATATAATATATACTTTAGTTAAAATAACTTTAACTTTAATAGTAATAAGTAGAAGATTTACTAGATAGTTGTCTTTCTAGATAGATAAGCTAGAATTAGCTAGAATATTACTAGTAACTATAAAGATATTTACTAATAGTCTTAGAAATAATATAAGAGTAGTATAAGAGTTTAATAATTAATAAAGAATCTCTTTTAATAACTAAACGTCTATAAAAGTATATAGCTACTAAGTAGTAGATAAAGTAAAGTCTACTTTATTATCTAGCTTATCTTGAGTCTCTTAAGAAAGATCTATCTTTAGATTTTATTTATATATAGAGAGAGAAGATTATTTCTTTTATTAAGAGTCTATAGAACTTACTATATAACTAGCTTATCTTTAATAACTAGACTTTTAGCTATAATACTTACTAAGGTTATATACTTAATATAAATTATCTATATAATATACTATAATAGTATATTAAGAAGAGTATAATAGATAATAGTAAAGGTTTATTAAAAAGTAAAAGTAAGTACTCTACGTCTATCTAAGAATATAATAAGTCTACTAAGTAGACTAAAAACTAG